CATGCATGTAGAACCCCAAAGGATCACCATTAAATTTGACACAGATCTCTAAAAAAGTCAAATCCCACACTCATGTGATAACCTTTTTAGAGATTTGTGCTATATTTAATAGTGATTGGGAGGGTCTCATAGAATCCTTACTCATATATATATGTATATATATAAGATTTATTAGACAAACTAATAAATGCATGTATCTTTTTTAAATTTGATTTAAAATATGGATATTGGCAAATACAGATAAAAGAAGAAAATAGGTATAAAACTGCTTTTAATGTCCCTTTTGGATAATATGAATGAAATATTATGCCATTTGGATTAAAAAATGCTCCATCAGAATTTCAAAGGATAATGAATGATGTATTTAATCCTTATATGAAGTTTATGATAGTTTACATCGATGATTTATTAATTTTTTTTGAAAATATACCCCAACATATAAAACATATCAATGCTTTTATAACCGTAGTAAAACACTCAAGACTAGACATATCTGCAAAAAAGATAAGTTTATTCCAAACAAAAATTAGATTTTTAGGACATCATATATCCCAAAGAACTATAATACCAATCGAAAGATCAATACAATTTGCTGATAAATTTTCAAACATAATTTTAAACAAAAAATAATTACAAAGATTTTTAAGATGTCTTAATTACATTGTAGACTTTTATAAAAATCTTGCAATAAATGCGAAACTTTTATATGATAGATTAAAAAAGAATCCTCCTCCATGGACATATATACATACTACTGCTGTTAAGAAACTCAAAATAAAATCTAAAGAATTACCTTGTTTATGTCTTTCAGACCCAGAAGCTTTCAAAATCATTGAATGTGATGCATCAAAATTAGGACTAGGTGGAATATTAAAACAAAGAGTTAATAATAATGAACAATTAGTCAAATATACTTCAAAGGCTTGGAATCCTATACAACAAAATTACTCTACTGTAAAAAAGGAAATTTTAGCCATAGTACATTGTGTAACCAAATTTCAAGGTGATATTCTTAATTCGACATTTCTTATACGTACTGACTGTAAAGCTGCAAAAGATATTCTTGCTAAAGGTGTGAAAAATTTAGTGTCCAAACAGATCTTTGCTAGATGGCAATCTACCTTATCTGCCTTTGATTTTACCATTGAACATCTTGCAGGTATTTTTAATGCTCTACCTGATTTTTTAGACTGGGGCTTCGTCATTTCTTATACGTACTGACTGTAAAGCTGCAAAAGACATTCTTGCTAAAGATGTGAAAAATTTAGTGTCTAAACAGATATTTGCTAGATGGCAAGCTATCTTATCTGCCTTTGATTTTACCATTGAACATCTTACAGATATTTCTAATGCTCTACGTGATTTTTTGACACGAGAATTTTTGCAGGGGGGCAGAGCAGACCACTCTGACCCAGCCGAATTATCTTTAGGACTTCAATTATCCCAAGGAACTATAATACCAATCGAAAGATCAATACAATTTGTTGATAAATCTCCAGACATAATTTTAAACAAAAAATAATTACAAAGATTTTTAGGATGTCTTAATTACATTGTAGACTTTTATAAAAATCTTACAATAGACGCCAAACCTTTATATGATAGATTAAAAAAGAGTCCTCTTCCATGGACAGATATACATACTACTGTTGTTAAGAAACTCAAAATAAAATCTAAAGAATTACCTTGTTTATGTCTTTCAGACCCAGAAGCTTTCAAAATCATTGAATGTGATGCATCAGAATTAGGATTAGGTGGAATATTAAAACAAATAGTTAATAATAAAGAACAAATATATA